GAGCAAAAATATTTATGGGTTCTTTCTTGCAACAACTTTCTTATTTTAAATCTTTTTGTGTAATCCCTTCCTCGTCATCTTCCCTTTTGTTTACTTTGTCTTGATTTCCTGTTTACAGTATTGTTGTATTCTGCTTTAATTATTATTCTGGGCGTGGAATAATCCATGAAACGACATAAATAAAATTTTCAAGAAAAAATGTAACGTGCCTTTGTTTGCAATTCGATAATTGTATTAATATTGCGATAAATTTTGCAAATAAAATTAATATGCTTGCTTTGTGATATAGTAACAATTTACATCATAGTTCTAGACATTTAGTGGCGTTTATATAGCAGTTTTATACATTCTTATTGTGTTCAATTGTCTAACTCGTTTATTCACGGTCTATTAAAGAATTAGTCAGAGTGAAGCAGACACTATCGTTAATTGGGCGATATTTTATTGGTTCTTCGTTTTCGATGACGCTGACGGGTATAAATCGATACCTGAGAACACACGCTCGTGCCAGGATCACGGTATTTTCCATAATGAGGGATCGAGTTTATTCTCAGCTAGATCAACAGGTTGGACTGACGCGAAGGTGCGTCCGCGCCGCAGGTTGGACGAACCGAACGCGGGGTGAAGGGTCGGCCGTTCGTTGCAAGGGTAAGTCTCGAGGCAAATCTCTGGCGGCAATGAAGGGGTTGCTGACTGACGTCAGGATGACGTAATGTCAAAGGCTGCTGTTGCTTTCCCGTCTCCCGGCGCCGGTCGCATCTGCCCTACGGCTGACATTGACACTGCTCGACGCATCGATTTGTTCTTCAACGAGGTAAGAGCAAATCGAGGGTCACCGTGACCGTTTTACTGACGCTATTTAATCGGAGGTCGTCTGAATGATTTACCTTCTCTGGACTTTATTAAGAGAATCACTTTAGAACGATGATCGATCCTAAAATGATATTTACCGGGACATAAAGTGTGCGACCTTAAACCGTAGTTACAGCTCTCATGGTCATGGGTTCGCCGGGTTGACTCTTTAATTAGTCTACATCGTGGCAATTTATGATATAGGAGAAATGTCTAAAATTGGGCGCGCGTGATGTTTAAGCTGAAACTATTCTGCGGCTAATCGATAGTTCGTAACACTGTCCGTTAAAACAACACATAGCTATCATAATATGAGTTTTAAAAGTAGATATAACGCCGCTTACGTTGTTGATTAATGCATTAAGCCTAACAATGCACTCTAAATTTAGATATGTACAAAGATTATGTGCGAATCTAAAATATATTTTTCGCGGATTTTATACTTGAAGATAATCGAAAGATAATTTGATGTACCTTCGTGCTCCGCATGCTTTTAGTCGTATATTATGCGCGTAGTTATAGAATCATTGTTGTCTTTGGCTTGCTGTCGCGCCAGTACATGCCATAGACAGCATAAAGAGGTACTTTAATTTATTTCTTGATAACCGTTTAAAACCTTGACCTTGTGCGTCATAGCCGACCGTATATTCGGATTATATTTCCAGTGACTCATATCACGAATCATCTCGACGGTCGCGACCGAGCGACGTACGATGTAATGTCTAATATGATAAAATCTCACTTTTAGGACATTTTTCTGTTTAAGATATTCAAATTAGTTCAAAACGACCATTTCAGTCCGTTCACTCATTGATGCCAGACCATCTAAAATTGAAATTTAATAATTATTTTTAAAATAAAATTTCACTAATAGAGTATCAAATCGAAACTTGTCAAGGAATTTATAACATATATCTAAAAAATATCTTTTCGATATTCTCTCGATTGATTTGAATTGTATGGAAGTTAGTGTCTGTTTCATTATCTTGTAAAAAATTTTGGAGCATTTATTTGCGCACTAGCATTGTTAGCGGAATGCACCGACTGTGTGCTCTTTTTCGATATTTTTAGGATCGAGTCGTGACTCGGGATTAACGGTCGGCCATTCCAGAAATCTGCGATCGACGTCGCGTCGCAGGGAAACAATACTGTTCGACCAGAATACCTACACCGTTCTTCGGCTGGCTCGTAATAATTTAGAATGAATCAGAAGCCTTTTGCGTTAGAGACGAAAAGAGACGCGGAGAATTTATCCACGATGGCGATTCATAGATCTCGACAATTCGAGTTAAAAGTTTCGATCGCCGTCTTTTTGTATACTTATTTACGTCGGTAGCGAGTGCATTGTCCTACGGTCGTATCAATAAGGAGGAGATAGCGCGCGCTCGTCTTATACTTAACACTCTTAACAGAGCAAAAGTCCATCTCGATCATTGGCCCCTATATTTGTGACAGTCTTATACTAAACGTAGTCTTAATGTAATCTTAACTACGATTTATTAGATTTTGAACTCTTAAGTTCAGAATCTAATAAATCTGTAAATATCATTGGAAGATAATTCTCCGTAAATTGTTTGCTGATTGTAAATTTTATTTCTAATTGCAATTAGTTAAAATAGTCTTAATCATTGTCGACAGTACTCGTTACATATAATTCCTAAAATTAATATTAGGAAATGTTTTATTTAACTATTGCTGAGTGAAAATTCTATCAGATTTTCTCTACCGGTATTAGATACCTCAATAACTTCTTATTAATAACTATAAAAATAATGTGAGCGAATTTCTACCACTTTTGTTCTACTATATAGTTCCTTAATTGGATAAGAGAACATGGTAGGCCGACGTTGGTAAGAAGCGCTGCACGGTTATTCGACAATAAAAATAATTTGGCGATGAATGAGGGTAGACGATAGTCAGGAGAGAGAAAGACTAACGTAAGATATTTTTATTGGACGTCTGCAGTCTGGATGCACCGCCGGCCGTTCACCCGATGCACTCGTCGCTTCATGCCAATCCATATGCGATCCCTGCTCTCGATTATTCTTCTCTTCTTCTTCCTCTTCGTTCCTTCCCTACATCGTACGGTGCTTACGATCCAAATTCGCGATTGATAAAACAAGGTTCCTGCATTCGCCAATTCTCAGCCCAGTTTTCAGCTCGTTTATTCTTTTGTGAGATTATTATCGAAATCATTTTTTTTCTCACGACATCATACACAGATTATGCTTTTTAGATCAGAATTTATTTTTTTATGGAAACTTCGAGGATTATTTTGTTACTAAAGTTTCAATAAAAAATAATTGTTTTATATATACTTAAGAAAATGAATTTGGCCTGATCGATGTTTATAACTTGTCTCGCATGATCTGTTCGAACAGATTTCTGTGCTTTGCGCGACTCTGAAGTTGAACGAGATCGGTCGCGTGGGTGCGTTTGTCCCATTGGAGGGGCGCTGGATGCTGAGGGGTTGTCCGAGGGGTGGGGCAGGAGACGGTCAACCATGAAACGGACGAACCAACAGACAGGGATGCACCGACCTTGGGGGGATTTTTGTGTCTACCGTAGTGCGTTAACCCCGAGAGCTGAGAGCGAGTGTGGCGTGCAACGCGTTAAAGGAATGAGGGCTCTTTCAGTTCTTTGTCTCCCTTCCCTCCTTTCCTCGCAGATCGCGCCGCCCTTTTTCCCGTCCTACTCGTTCTTCGCCCAGTCAAGGTTCGGCCCAGCCAAGCTCGCACCAAGAATCGGTTACCTCAACCCCTTCGTCTTTCGAAACTGCACTCGAAATCTGCCTTGGATCAATAAAGCAGTATTTACTACAGTTTATTTATGCCATAGCCTTTTTGTCCTCGAAAATCTACCGTTAATTGCACAAAAAATTGAAATTTATATCATAGTTATTTAAATTCTATTATTACAGCAATTGAATTAATGAGATGTTTCTCATCTAGTAAATGATAGTAGCAATTTATTTTGTTCGATAGAGTGCAAGTGGAAATTTCTATTGAAATAAAACTAAGATAAAGATACCGAATTTTTTATTTGATTTTTTGTTTCATAATTGGATGAAACAATCTATCGTAGTCGATTATTTATTTTGTCCATAATTTCGAAAAAAGTTTGTTCGCCGAAGCAATATTGTCTCTTTCATCGATAGGACCTTGATCCGTTCGTCATTCTCTGTCGCGCGACGTCCAATTATGAAGTGATTCGGTACTTTTGGAGGACGGGAGGAGCGAAGAGAATACGCGCCAATAGGCTTATCTGTTCTACCCAACAAGCAATTAATTCAATGACATTGCTCATCGAGTTTCTCATACGAATTAAGTCTGACCTTTCGGGGTTCAGGGAGAAAAAAATCTTTTTAATACAATTAGAGCTGCCATACTGCGATAATTGACGGAGTAATTTTTTTTATATCACATTGAGTGAAAAAACTTATATTATTATGTGCTACAATCAGCTACAATTTTGGACAGAATAGAAAATTATACCTATGATTGTATGCTTCTATAAAAAATAATAAATGTCGATCTGATAATAGAAGATAAGTGACGGTGAAGTAGGTTAAATAATCATCTAATTGATCTATTCATACAAAGATTGTCGATTCTCAAATTGATTCATCTTTCGTCTCGTTGTTCTCGAGCGCTTGAAACACAAAGAAACTCCGGCCGTGTTGACTTGTCGAAGGAAAAATAAAGATGCGTGTGCGAGAATGGGATGGCATGACCTCGAAGGGCGCGGTCGAGTTCACACTAGACTGAAGCTGCCCTTGTGCCTAACCGGCCTTGAGACGGCTCGACCTGCCCTACCCCGACGATCCGGCATTCTCATAGCACATATGCGATTTCTCGTCCACACAAAGATCAGCGTTTCCTAAATTCACCGTTCGGTGAATAATCTTTGTGCGAAAACACGTCTACCGATGAAACCTCCTGTCCGTGGAAACGTTAATAAATAAAAATTGTATTTTAGTTCAAGTAGACTTTGACAGAATTTTAATTCGAAAAGTTCGAGTCACAGAGGCCATTCAATATTAAAAATTTCGAAAATGAAAAGGTACAAAAGAACATGATTTATTGAATTTATGATCAAGACCATGTTTTATCGTTCGTCTTCTTATAATAGGAGCGAAAAGTTTCGAAGTTTCCGTAGTGTAGTGGTTATCAGTTATCACGTGTACTTCACACGCACAAGGTCGCCGGTTCAATCCCGGGCGGAAACAATATTTTTTGGAAGTATAAATTTTTGCAAAATAAACAAACAAAATAATTTATTCTGCTAATAAAAAAAAAGTTATGCTACTGCAAAAAATGTTTCCGCCCGGGATCGAACCGGGGACCTTGTGCGTGTGAAGCACACGTGATAACCACTACACTACGGAAACGTTGAAACTCTCGGGGTTAATTTAAGAACATGAACATAGACGTTTACTTTTATCTCGTACGACATGTGGATAACGTTCGAAAATGTCAAATGTGAAATAAATCGCGTATGCGTATTCATATTCTCACTTGCATAATTTTATCTCATACGCCTTCATATTGTTATGTGAAATATTTATTGATTATAGCGCGGTTAAAACTTTTAAAATTAAATTAACATGAAAACATTAAAATATTTACATTAAAAAGCTTTTAAATGACTTCTATACTTTATATGATAATTAGTTTAGTCAATTTTTATAGCCAAGTGTAAGAGAAAGCAGCTAGCTTGAATAAAAATACTGAACTCATTGAATATGCATTTGTCGCTGGCAATATCACAACTCTTACTTTTACTAGAGAGAAAGTGCACATTCATGTTTCTTGAAGCTCTTTAGTTGTTTTGCTAATATATTGTTACATGTCATGATAACATTATATACGGTTAAATACAATAATATATGTATATAATTTTTATTACATCTTTGTTAAATTTGGAAATCTGTTATTTAAAAAAATTCGGTAAATTTGTTTAACTTTAATATTAATTACTATTAAACTTGTAAAACATCTCAACCTTTTAGAATCCGTTGAAATTCCCGTTTCATTATTTATCCGGTCAATCAGCTTTGTCCTTTTCTCGTTGTAAATCGGCATACTCTTTCAGCAGTCACGATCACAAAAAATTTTCAATTTCACTTCAGTTTATTTCCTGGTTGCAGCAATGAGCGATGTGTTGCGCCACGCCATCATTTATATCGTTTTATGACATTTATTGGAAATTGAATTCTCTCTAGCTTACGAATGTAATAGAAAAAACTATGCAGTTGATTTCCAATTGGTTTTAATTAAAAGAAAACTTACACGATATTTGACGTAAGAGTAGCAACGACATCTTAAATTAAATTGTCGTATTCGTTAAAAGAATATGCACGGCTTCGTGATATATATCCCGGAATTATAGTATACCAATAAAATAACTTTTTTTATTATGTTCTATATTTTGATAGAGCTCGAATATAGTCGAGGCGCGTTGGTGGCCCGTTGACCTGACGATCAACGAGAGAAAGAGCGCAACCCGCGAAACTCTCGGTGATCACTTCATCTTCCTGTATTTCAACGTCAGAATGCCCTTAATCGGCGCAAAAAATGCCTCGGGGAAAGTGCGCTCTCTGCACGATTCATAGTTCGAACGCTTGCATCAACGTCTATGATAACAAGTTTCACAAACTATTGCTCCATAGGAAATATAATCAGAATAATAAATATATAAATGTATTTGACGCGCGGATCGTAATCGCGTCTGTGTTGGATACACATAAAAATGTTTTTCACAATGAGCGTATAAACTTCAATACTTGAAAAACTCATGTGTTTAAATTACAAAATATTAATATCAGAGAATTCAAAATACCTCCCATCGTATCTCTGCTGTTTTCGGTACGTAGTATCGCTGTAGTATCGCTGTAACATTTTTATCTCGTTATTATTTCAAGTTAAATGTGTTTTCGTTTTAGACGGTACGCTGAACTTGATTATGATATCGCGAATTGCGTTGAAGCTTGAATATTGCGAAATTTTGATATCGCCTAATACCATCCCGCGGCTAAATGATTCAGAATTAATCGCAAGGCCACACTTCGAGGAATTATTTATTTCAAATTAATCGATTCAAGGCTGCACGAGTCGTACACACATAGCCCAAGGTTACGATATATGAATTACAACTCTTATCAATTCCTCGCCCGACAAGGTCAGACCTTTATCTTCCAACTTTATTTGTACCGGCGTCCTATGGATTTCATTGCACGCATTAAATCGAAATGTGACACGCACATTATAGAATAGAATAGATAACGCAATATAATTAGAGTGTAATATAACTAGCAGAGTATAATAAGGTTATACATAATTATGGCTAGGCTTATCACAACAATTCTAAAAATAGCACATAAACGCCTTTGATAGTGAATTTTATCTTAAAATATTATTTTATACTGAAGAGTGGGATGCTGACTGCTGAATTATCTTATCTTCGGCACTGGTCAGTGTCAAAATAACTTTGTTCCAAAGTTCTGTAACTCTGGTTCAAAACTTATATAATTCAACAACCGCGTTTATCATCCTAATTTTCCCCTGCAATCATCGATATTTTAAGTCAGCCATTTAAGAGTAGAAGAATTAGAACGCAGACAGGAAGCGTCCAATATGATAAAGTCGTATAATCAAAAGAGAAGACTATATCCTGTTGGTAACATTTTTTTTCGGCCAACGGACCGCGAGCGTGATGTAATCAGGCGGCAGACCGAGGCGAGCAAAAGCGGGAGAAATAGGCGCGACCTACATATTGTTTGGGTTCGCGTTACACAACCTGCATATACGACGACACGTAGGAGGGCAATGACCCGCCATATCGACGCGGAACAGGGCGGCTACACGCTTGTGAAAGCGTGAGACGGCGGCGTACCACGTGGCCCACGTGAATGGCCGCTTTCGAGTTTCACGACGCGTACGGCACGTGGGCGAGGTATAGTCGCGGGTGCTTCCCGATCGTCCATGAACGACGCGGAACATTGTAATTATCCCGATACTGAACTGGCGCGAGGGAGCGCGGCACGTGCCAGAGGCCTCAGCCAGAATATGCTGCCTGCGTATAGGGTAAGAGTAAGTAAAGCCACACGTGTGACGCCCCATGCCGAACTCTCTTAAAGCTTTAAATCTGGCAATCATAGTATAGTACGTGATACAGGCATATATATGTATATGTCTTACTAATATTAGAAGAAAAAAATCCATATTTATTAGAAGAAATTATGTATTGCAACATTAGAAATTATATTAAGAGACATAGCAGAAGAGATATATAAGAGTAAAAAAATTTATTACATAATGATTAATATAGCAAAAAAGGGAATTAGAATTTGTGACAAAAATACAAAATTATATATTTTTGTTATATTCCCTCGTTCTCTAAGTGAAAAGAAAATAAATAGGACGTTTGGATTGTCGTGTACCAATCGTATGTTTGATGACGATGTTTAATTGTTTAATAAGGTTAAGCGGTTAAGCGTTCGTTCCAAGCCATTTCGCCACTGTATATTCCCGCTTGTAATTATTCTGGCATTGACTTGCCACGGGTAACCAGAGCACGTGTCAAGGGCGCCGATCGATTAGGGTTCCACGCGCTGTTGTTCAAGATTCTCTCGCTTGTTTAGATTCGGAATCTGTCACTGATCCAATAGAACACGTTCGGAGAAATTGACGAGGCGCAAGTGGCAATAAATCAGCGGCTGATAAAGAGTACCTTTTATCGATGATGTTATACGTTTCAGTTCCTTTGAATTTAGTGATTGATTCAATTTATACCGATTTCATTTTAATAATGAAAGTTTTAAGTAAAGCGATACAAAATTCAAGCAAAATTCGTAATATGTGTGTGATGATTGGAATAGATAGTAAAATTATTTTTTTTTATTGTTATAATGATATTTTTATTTAGTTTTATATAAAATTTAGTTAAACAGTATTTAAAAAAATGGTTATCAGATATCAAAATATCAAATGTAAGATATTAAGAAGTAAAAATGATAGGATTTAAATTTATTCTAAAAAAAGAAGGGAAGAAGTTTGGTTCTCCGAGGTGTAAAATTGTACTGGCGATACAGACAACTCTCACTGTCGGAAATACACGTTATCGCGGAGGCTCGGTGAAAGTAAAGTAGATTATACTCCGTCTTTCCTCCTCTGTGTGCTACTGTATATTGTCCACAACGCAGTTTTGCAACAACAGTTGCAACAGCTGGCGGTCAATTGGCGAAACTTTCTTTCTGGCTGTCGCGTATTATACTATGAATCTAAATCAACAACGAATTTATTGAAAGTCTTTTAAGAGTGTAACCGGATTAATAATTCTGATTATGATCACCTAGATAAAAATTTATAGTTATCAAGATATTATTACATATATATAAAGGTCATTAATGAAATTAGAATATTTAATCATAATGTTTGTGTAATATTAATAAATAAGTATCTATACATATACCTAAAGTGTATAAAGTATATAAAGACATATAACTAATATAATTTGTATAATTTATAATTATACAAAAATAACATGCTACATCGTTTATTTGCGCTACATAGATTGGAATTATTATAAATTTTTGTTTGCGTAAAAAAAATATAATATCTTTATAAAGCATGTTTAAGAATCCTAGATTCTTTGTATTCGTTTTTTGCAAAGCAAAGATTAGGTCGTGGCTGTTGCCAAGAATGGTGATCGTAAATTTGCCAGCCGTTAGCTGTCCATACTTTTTGGAAAATTGCGCGCCGAATGCCCGAGTCTAAACGAGACAATATCGTGTTCGCAAAACATGATGCGTCCGCGTTTTTTTTTTTTCACCTCTTTCGGCCGTCCCCATCACAGGGGATACCAAAAATATCGCGAAAACACCCGCGCACCCAAAGCTCGAACAATGAGAAAGCCAACGTTTATACTCCTCGCCTTATTATTATGGCCCGATCGACCGTAGAAGCGTACTCTGAAGGGTACGCGTGGGCGAGGACCAGCGAAAATGTACGCGACTGAGAGGGCGCTGGAATAGTGATGGGATCGATTGAAGAAAAGACCCGGTTTGAACGTTTACCTTTGGACTGAACACATTTTTTAGTTAAAGAGTCCTTAATGAAACCTACAATTACCTTATCTTTCGATTTAAAAAATTTAAAATATTTCTGGAGCTATCTTACACATTTTTTGTGCTTTTGTGATGAATCACGGCGATCAAGACAGATCAAGACAATTCGCGATGAGCTTGATCCCGTCACGCGGTGCGTACACGGGCGGTCGAACATGTCTACGTGCAAATGTCAATGACGTCTAAAAATAGCGGTCGAGTCGGACCAAGAAACGTCTCCGTCCCGATATACTGGAACGGCTAACGTTTAACGGCCAAAGATCCTAGAATTCGAGGACACGAAGGTACAAGGATCTCCGAGGTCACCTGCACTCGATCGAAGAGATTAAAACCGGATCTGAGAACACGGAATTGAATCAATCAAATCGGCTGAAAATTGATACTTGTAATTATGCAATAGATTAAGAAAGAGTAGTTTACATTTACCGTGGAGGAAACGAGTTCTCATTTCTTGAAGGCGCATACATGATATTAGCGCATTCTTGCGGTTAGCCTTGAAGAATTGCTGTCAGAAATCAATGCGAGTTGTATTGTTCGTTTAAACAAACGCGTCACGCGGCCTTGTGGATCCGCCTTGGTTCTCTAAATTATTGGCGCAACAAATGTCGAACGATCGAATTTAATTGGCCGAATAATGCGATAACGCAATCTCTCGTTTCCACAAGAACGAAACTTTGCCGATTTTCGTTTTGTTTTTGCCAATCTAATTATCCTAATAGTCATATATGCGCAAAACGCTTAAACAGGTCAAATTTTCCTAATTATTTTTCAAAAAGTACAGCACATAGAAACTTTTAACGAAAATTAAGAGAGAACGCATACATAGTCCCCTGGCAAATTCTATTCTATCTTCTATTTTACATGAAAAGGTAGAGAAAATAAAATACAAAAGATATAGTTGCAAGTTGGGTCAGTCTACCGTACGTCATTTATATAGTCATACTATTCCACGCGCATAGCGGGTTGATTGAAATGTTAATTTCGTTGTATACTAAAACGTCTGATAAGCTACGAGTACCTGAACGGCAATTGTAAACACGTGGCTAAAAGTCAAGCGCTTGTTTGCGGTGCAACCTTGATCCCTCGAACTCTATATATTACCCTTCCAAAGTGAGCTTATTCGCATAATGTGCAAAAACAAAATTTGTTATTATTGTTATTTTTTGCTGCAATGTTCTTCGTGTAGAATCTACTTTGTAGGTGATTAGATTCTATGCGGTGATTATTATTATTAAAAAAGATTAACAATATAAGCAAAGCTTCTCTTATAATGATACATTTTTTTCGGTCTCGTTTCATTTACGATATTTTATTCTTTTCGGCAATTTAAATTATAACTGGGATGGATCAGGAACCATCCAGACAGTTAGTCATCGACGGAAGTGAAGGGGCCAAGACGTGATGACCCTGAAAATGTGTGTGTATGTATGTGTAACAAGTTTCAGAATTTTTAGAATACCACGCTGCTCTATCCACGAGACGCCCCAGAGTCTGCTTTCGAAGAAGATTTTATGCTAGACGTTTAAAAACGCTTTTCTGACAAACAAATCATTCTCGAGGCAAACTAGCACTTTTTTTACGGTTACCGGTTGTCCCGTTAATGAGAAAACATTTTTCAAAATACAAATTATGTTTACTTTGTCTCTTATTTCTTTATGAGACGTTATACGTGTTTCAAAAGACATGTTAAACTTTGAAGGAGTGGTCTCGCGACTATCATAAACTATTGAGTTCGTCTTATGCGTCGGCATTGTTGCTCCAGCCTATTTGATTCGCAAACGGAACGGCCTCTTTACCCGGGTTACGTCGCTATAGCTTTTGTGTGTCAAGGATGCAAAGTTTTAGTAAGAATAATGTCGGCTTGTTCCTTCGTGTCCCGAAATGTCCCAAACGACAAATTTGGTCATCTAACCGAAATCATAAATGTAAAATATTAGAGACTTAGATGTATAACTCAAAACAAACATACATTTTTATACCATATTAAAATCGTTGTACATTCCGTTAAATTTTCGCCTAATTTAATTGTTGATAAATAATGATTAACATTATAAACATTTTTTTAAAGCATAAACAAAACTTTATAAAATTTTATAAATTTTGACTTAAATATTTGTCAGTTAGAGGATTCTAATTTTAGCAAGGTCCTTATTTGCGTTATATTGCTGCATCCATATTATGCCAATCATGCGACGTCGCTACAGTTGCGATATAGATGTAATAGTTGGAGCAAACTTTTGCAAGGTTTCGAATCCTTGACTCTTCAACCACAGACATTACTGTCGTTGTGACCTCAAGCGATAACCCATTTGTTATGAGTTCGAACTTGCGTAGAGAAACCTTGTTTGTGTGTGTTGTGTGTGCACATAGGAAAGTCCCTCCGTTCGTGAACTAGATCGAATTTAGCATTTTAACGTGCGGTGAACTGGTCTTAAGTTAGGATCTAATGTAGGCTGCTGTGAAAAGATACGGCACAGTGGCACTTTTGCCAAGAATAAATTCTCTGTAGGCATTCGGCTTTATGTCTCGTCCGACATGACATTATTCTTAATTACATTAGAAATCATAAAAGCTATGAGCCAAGATGAGAATTTCTAGCACATTTAGAGCAATGCAAAATTTTAAAATTGATCAATTTGCAAATTATAGCCATGAACTATCGGCACTAACATCTTTTTACAATTTATTTTAACAACCCACAAACAAAATTATTTTTATCAGTCGACAATATTTATAAATCTACCTTTATTATCGTGCTTTACGATGTAACAAGTAGCTTAGTACTGATTGTACATACATTACAGATGATTACGTTCCAGCAAAGTGATTCTCAATAGTATAATGGTCTTTTACGGTAACACCTATTTGCAGTAAATTGCATTGTCCGGTGATCTATCGTGCGATGACGTGAGATGGAATCGATAAGTCGGCACTCGATTTGCATCAACTGACGTCAAGTGACCGCGAATGTATGTACGAGCGAGGTCGTTCGACAAACAAACCGATGATATCTCACTAGACTCGGCTGGATCGCGCCGGTGCTATTGGAAACAGATTGACAATCCTTAAATCGTGGTGCAACAATTACGATACTGGTTATTTCATAATTTATTTTGAATTGAATCAAAATTTTTAATAACTTGTCGAACTTGCCTCATAATTTACAACGTGCATGTGTAGTATTTCTTATGTAGTTAAGCATCACGCTCGTGGCAAAGTCCAGCTGATTAAAGCGGCGAGCTTGAAATTTAGCGCGGAGCAACCAAGGCCTCATCTAAGGTCGCATTTATAACGAATGTCCGTGATCGAATCGTCAGGCCGGAAGTAATTAACGCGTGTTCCTAATAATGCGTGTTGTTGTATCACGCGAGGTACGACGCATGTCGACGATATCACCGAAGATAAATTGAAATTGGTCTGACAGATGCCGGAAATTAATAGCAATGACAGAAACCATATCTTACATTTTTTTTTATATAACACAAATAATGGTAAAGCAATTTTTTTCTAAATATTTATTCTCTATATTGTATAATATGGAAAGGTAAAAACCATAGTGGTGTAAGTCAAATTTTTAAAAATATTTTCTTGTGTGCATAGATGCAATTTATATATTGTACAGATTGCATCTATGCACACGAGAAAATATTTTTAAAAATTTGAATTACACCACTATGGCTTTAACCCCTCCATATATTCTACATAAATATGTATTTTTATTTATGGCTATAGGAAAGAGAGGGAGAAAGAGAAGAAAAGAGATCTTTACATTGCACACAATTCCTTACATATTGCCACAAAATCATTAACAACGCAAGAAACAATTATACGAATTGATAAAAACTGAAATTCATTCATTCATTCCTCGAAATCGATATTTCCGCAGCGACAAAAGATGGTACGCTTCTTTAATTCATCGCAACGAGATTATTCGCTTCTGTCGGACTGAAAAGAAAAATTGGTGCGCGTGTTTGTCAGGCGGCGCGAGACGATCTCCTTGTCTGCGCAAAAGATGCGCAACGAGTGCGAATGCGGAAGAAAAAGAAAAGAGAGGGAAAACGGAATTATGCCGCCGTGTCTCGCGTCTCGCGTAACATTATGCAATCTTTCGACAGCGCCGTGGAGAGGCGTTATTTCCTCGTGCCAAGGTCGAGGGTGCGCATGCCCGCGTCGGTGTGGATCTTTTCGAGATCATATACCGATTCCCGCACTTTTCTCACATTTCCGTCGAAGCAGCGGTTTAAATCACAAACGAAATGCCAAGTTCTACATAATATTATACTAGCTTGTCGCCGTGACGTTTTGAAGATTTCGGATTAGAAGATCGACATTAAAAGCCGTCTTTGAAACAATCCTGTCCTTCACTTTCTGATACTGTAATTATATGTAATTTGTATCTGCATTATCCCATATCATCGATAATATGTTTGTGTTTCTTTATTATCGTATCGATAAGGAGTAATGTTCCAAGAAGTATGTAAACATCTTGAATTTAAAAAGGATTTTCCGTCTGGTGATTGAAACGGAATTCGCTGCGCGGGAATATCGTAGCGTCGCCAAGCTGCGCAATATGCTACAAGCGCGATTATAAGTGAAGTTATATTGCGCGCGCGATTTACGTGAAGAATCCAAGGATCAAAGCTCAAAAGACGACAATGACGCGTGACACAGTTTTCAAGCGCGACTGAACTGGACTGATCGTCGTAATTGATGCACGCGATGTGATCTAAACCGGGAATACGTGAGAACCAGTTCAGATCCAGTTCCCCTCTCGCTGCACTTGCACCGGCTGATAGTCGCATCGATCGGCCGCCAAGGCCGCGTCTTATTCGGGCAAGGCCAAGGTCGTTGGCTGGCATTGCCAGCCGAGGTGAGATTGCAATTTCTCGCGCGGGGTTGCGCCAGAACTGCAAAAACCTGCGTTTAGTAAACGTTTTACATAATTAGCAAGTAAGATATAGATTCAATAAAAAGGGATCGGAAGAAGTTCATTTCGCGACGTTTGCGAGGGTACAGTTTATTATTTTTTATTCGTTCGACGTCGAGAATCTGATAGCTTTTTCTATTTATAGTTTTAAATGTCAATACATTTTTAATTTAATCAATAAATTTGACATTTTTAAATCGATCGTATAAAACTTCTCTTACATAATTACACTCACAAAAATATTTTGGAATATAGCTTGCGGTTTTTTCCGATTGGGACAGTAATCTTGTAAATATATCATAATCCCCCCCGTATGACGAAATGTTGCGACATGCCACATTGACCTCTTCCACTAGGCGTGTTTCCGAAAGCTGGCCTTGCGATAAGACGAGTCAAGGATAGAAGCATGCGTGCCCTGTCTTTTATCGGCCGTTTCCGGGTCTATTCCAACCCAAACTCGACTTCGTATCGCTGATATGAGTTTCCGGTTTTACTGAACTGACAAATAATTAAAAACATACGCTTCACATCAATATTGAATATGCTTCCATGTTACGTCAACAAACGTACGACAGAGATATAATATAGAAATAAACAATCTAAACATTACGTAATGTATTTTCCACCTTGTTATTTCTGCATGGCAGCGCTAAGCTGATATTTTAAATTTGAATGAGCTAGCACATCGTAGAAACGCGACGTAGAAACGTTTCTAAAACAATGTATACAATTTTGTGTACCTCGCGCTTGGCAATAAGTCAATAATGTGTATATTTGTCTCTGTTCAATTCGTTGTGAACTCCTCGTATACCGAAATATTTTAGTCTAATTTCTCGTCATTTTTGTTGGCACTATAATATAGCGTGTGGCCTTCTACTACATGTCATGTAAATCTGAAATCTGTTCGCAGATAATTTTTCAATATCTTGTAACCAGATCGCTTTTCATAAAATACATATATTACGCATTACGTAATTTCGTTTGCGCGTTTAAAGTATCCCAAAGAAACATTTATACACGTAAATCTTGAACGAACTAGATTTGAAACGAAAAATTAGAGTTAAAACTATATTAAAATGCAATATTTTTAGAAATTGCAAGATTTAGGTCAGTGTTATTGCTTTACTCAATCGACTTAGCCTTATAAACGTGCATAATGACTTACGCTAATGGAAGAATCACCTGAAAAATTCTGTGAGGGTCTCGCGGCCATGGTCTACCGCGCTATCCTCGTTTAGTATTAATAACGACTAAAGGATCGGCAACACATCTCATCCTTTGTTACGCTACCGTGTTGCGTGACCCTGAAAATCCACGAGACCGCGACGTAGGGTCAAACGACGTGCGCGTGGTCGCACACATTGGCGATGTATCGTTCACATTTAGTCGTAATATAGGAATGCCTTCGATGGTAGTGGTGGTGGTAGTGATGGTGGTGGTAAGAGGCAGAGCGATGATGACGATGGATGGCAGGAGGAGGGGGTCACGACTAGTAGTCGATATATATCTATACAACGTGTCCGCTCCGGCCGCCCGTGACCATGTGGCCTTGTCCTTGTACGACGTCGCGCATCGAACAGCACTACGTGCCACCGACACTCGTCGGACTCCGGTGGAACCTTCCTATAACAAGCGCGAGGAAAAGAGAGGAGAGGAGGCGCGGAGTAGAGCGTGTGTGCACACGTACGATATACATACACGTGACAATAAATAACGATGAGTTGAAGCGCCACGCCAAACGAATTTGCACGAGTGACTAATGCGGAAAAACTAATTTTTTTTTCCACGGCTAATGTTTTTCCGATAAAGACAGTGGAAAATCCTGTTGATTTTATACTGGTAGATATGTATGCACATCGCTCTGTTATTGAAAAATATGTAATCTTTAGTCTACGATTGTATTATAAATTCATCTGTAACGTTTTGTTGATGCAGAATCTGCGTATTAATGACTCACATAGATACTTCATACAAAGTCTGATCTTATCCTCGGAAGGAGATCTTATCCTTCCTCCCCCTTCTAGTGTGTTGTGTATTACTAAACATTGTTTTTCATATTCTTTAATATTTCTAATTTTCGTTTACAACAAAGTTTATATTTGCTATCACAAGTTATCTCTTTTAACAAAAGAATCTTCTGCGCGATACCTAATGTCACAGCAATTATGTGTAAAACTTATTAGTGGTTATTTTAGTGGTCGATATATACTACTAAATTACATCGAACTCATTGCGCGCCTCTGAACGAATGCCTATCCGAGCAGAAGTTGGAATATTCGTCTGATTGCGTTTCGCTAACACGAGGAAGGTTATCTTGTCGTGTGTTCATCGTTATCAAGACCGATGATAATGCGCTGAGTGACTCAGCGAGATGAGTTCAAGTACAGATTCGAGTGGTCTTCATCTCGAGCGACGCGTGCGATTGACACTTCTGTAATATTAGCGACTAAATACTGAAGATCCCCTTAATTTTGATCCAGCAAGTTAGTTTCTTTTTATATCTCTGTACACATTTACCATTTAATGATTTCTAAACTAAATTGTTTTTTCTGAAAGATTCAAGTGTACAGCGTCGATTGCATCACGTTATCTTCTGGTAGTTTAACAAATACGGTTATGAAAGAAGGTTATACAAGAGCACGGTGCTTTATGTAACAAATCTAACAAAACTGTGGAACTAATTTTTAATTAATTTTTCATTTTATTCAATGATTATATAAAATGCTTACCGTATATTGTAACAGAACTAAAATTGCGAAATATTTAAACAATATAATTGTCTTCCATGGACATTATCAAGTAATTTCAAAAAGTATAATAGGAATGAGAGAGAACAGATAGCGGAAGACCGATACGAGTTCTTAAATAAACTTTGTACAGTGCTTGCATAATGCTGTTTGCGACGAAACTTTGTCAAACAAGGTTGCAATAATAATGAAACCGAATGTTCATCCTCAATTGTTCCTGATATCCTTCTGATATCAATACCTATTGTATCACTTACAATTTTTTAGCTTCCTATTCGCTACTTTATTTCTTTTATGAATTTTGAAGGACTTATTCCAGGCTTTAAGTTGAATTTTCTGTTCTATTCCGTCTCATTCTCTATCTCATTCTGCTCTCTCCCGTAACTCAAAACTCGTTTCCTCGAAAAATCGTCGAATTTTATTTAACTATTCCCCCTTTCGTCTGCGCGCCATATAGCGAATCGCGTACAGATATTATGTCAGCATTATGTATAGATAGCCGGCCGATGTTCGATCTTTTTGACCAGAAATCACGTCGAAGGCCGAGCGGCCGAATACGACGTACACTTTAAAACAGCCCAACGCCTTTGGTCTACGTCCTTGCGACAGTTTTAGTTTTCGGGGAGTTCGACTCACTGTTGCGAGGGAGGCATGGTTACGTGTTGCGGCTAGTTTACATTAGTTTTACGTATAGCCGGTATAAGGTTACTCCCCGCAAGTTAGCTGTCGTGTGTGAGCATACATAGTCGCTTAAAATTAGAGACATATCAAGTAGGAAGCAAATTGCGAGGCAAGCTGGACGGCGAGATAGCCCAATAGAGATCGCCTCTATTTTCGGGCAAAAGCGTACTTGCTTTCAGCAACATCAGACCGATAACCGATACTTTTATGCGCGATTTAAATAAGATATTAAATTTATACAAAAACCTCGACGAAATTTTGGCACGCCTACGATCTGTACTTTTTTGGAAACCAACTCTCCTTTCCGTCGACCTTTTCGATCGACGTTTAAGAGGCAATCATAGGAGGATTTTGGCACATCTAAAAGGCTGTGAGCGCCGACGTACTTCGGAATTCTGGTTGACAGTTTGTTCTTGTTGACAATCTCACGGAGGTGGTGGAGGTGGTGGCGGCGGCGGTAGCGGCGGCAGAGGCAGCGGCGGCGACGACGGCGTCACAAGGACGACGGCGCACACATCAATGTTGTATCGTCACGCATGTGCGCAGCATGTTGCTACGTGCACGCGTATATATCTCCGCCTCGCGGATTTGTCGCAATGTCTCGTGTCGTTTCGGAGGCAGAGCCGGAGCGAACGCGGCGAGACGTGGCGAGGCAAGGAGCGGAGCAGAGCGACGCGACGCGACCTTGTCCTTGAGCATAATCTTTCCTCGTTATCGGACGGCGGCGTCGAGGTTGCGGTCGCATCGGACCGACTGCAAGCGATTAGTGCAGCTCCCGAGACCATGCGTCAGCCTTTCTTTTATATTTGTGAATAATAATGCGTCCGATATCGCAAAAGTACGAGAGTACGAGCTGCCACGTGATAATGTATATAAATGGTTTAATTTGGGAAAACTCGTTCGGAGAAAGCTCTATTGTTTGCAACTATAGCACTTTACTTATACTTATTTAAATCGTCGTTAATTTAAAATCGTCAAATTCACATTCAATGTGATAATTGAAAGGAAGAAATTTCTAATCTGTCGCCGCCGGGCCGCACCGCGCCGTCACATTTCCGTTGCAAATATTATTGACTTCATATGTAAAAGCTATTATTCGGTCCAGATCTAAACAGGGACTGTTTTCCCGCGAAGGAAGATAATCCGAGTACCTCGCGCCACGAGTTCGTCATCTCGAGCGAGCGCCATTGGTTATCAGTGATACCCCTCTGATTCTAGGAAGCGAAGTTGCTATCGCTGACCTTGGCTAGCGAAATACTTAACGCAGCGGCACGTGTGCGACGACGTAGAAGCTGACGAGGCAGAAGAGACCGCGGATAACGAACGAGGACGCGTGAAAGAAAAGGAGCCTGCGGTCGCGCGATGTTTAATTAAGATGACATTTATCTATTTTGATATACAACGCACAAGCATCCTTAGATCATTATAGCTGGTACGGATTAGAGTGCCATCGATCGGTACGCTAGAACTTAAATCGATAAAAATAAAAATATATATTCTTATTTTATTTTTTTATCTTATCGTGTACGTGAATGTCATTATTCATTTATTACTTCAACGTAAAATTTCAAAGAGTTAGGAAATAGAGTAAACGTACCGAGTCCAACGCAAGAGGCAAGTTGGATGAGGAAGAATAAAGAGGGCTAAAGGGAATTCCGACACGCGCAACTTAGCGTTTCCGAACGTATGAATACGTTCGCTATATTATTATTAGCCGGATCGTTGGAAACACACGCGCAAGGTCAGCTTTCGCGTCTCGTTCCCTTCACCCCCTCTACCTCTTTGCCCCTCCGCCGTTCCACCCACCCTCTTAATCATCGTCAAGCTCATAAAGATGAATCTGCCGTAAGTGTGTTTTTTATAGGCATTGACGTCGATGACAAACAATCGCACATATTTTTTTCGTTTGAGCACGTGTCAGCTTCGTGTATCTGTTGCTAAAAAGTGACTCTATTCACTGTTCGGGAATATTTGTTGAAAATTACGTGATACGCGCTTAATTATTAAAAGCACAATCTCGACTCGTGTTACGCACGGCCGTTTATCCTATCGAAATGATAATTAGAGCTATTTAAAGTGAATATTTCGGAGGCCTTGACGTGCCCAACTGGTTTATGTGGCGTGACTTCCGGCGCGCTTTCACGAATGACTCGTCCCTCGAAGGGCTTTTCGAGGTGTCTCACCTCGAAGCGCTTGGCCGACTGTTTTTGACATGATAATCCACTTGTGCCTTGCGACTCAATCTGCGCAGTTCCTACTATACCGTAAACAATGGCATTGAGCGATTAAATTATTTTAAGAGCGAGATTAAAATTAATTTAAAAACTCTCTTAAAATAATTCTTAACTTTGAGTTTCGACATTGAACTTAATCAATTTACATATTATTTTAATATTTTATTGTATTTTTTAATGTCTTAAATATTTAATAAAATTATTCTTAATCGGGTAAATAAGACCGTCACTCATAAGTAAATGACGGGGTCTTTACGAAAATTTACGCGTCACCCAGATATGGGTAACATGGCAATCAAAGTCTTATCAAAGTGTCTTTAAGTGTCAAATCTTTAAGTAGAAAGAAATTTTTAGAAATAGAAAAAAAAATTTTGCATTGACTGAACGAATTATATATTATATTCTTTATTTCTGACAATTAATTATCAATGACGTAACTATTGGAAAAATTAGAGACATATAGTACATAATATTGTGCGTGTGTAGTATTGCAATTGTCATAAAGTAATTAGATATTTCTGCCCTGGCATCTTCACGTAAAATGAAAGCGTAAATCTTTTTTCTTCATCGTTCTTTTAAAATCTTGGCAGCTTCGTGGCTGATAACGAGTGTGAAAAATAAATATTTCTACTTTTTTTTGCAAAGCGCTCTGCTTTCTTGCTACCTCGCAATTTCGCAATTACGCAATTATTACGATCG